TCCATGTTCTCGGGCCTCCGGACGCTGGGACGTGCACCAGCAGCCCCCAGGTTCTCAGGGCTTCCTCCTCGGCCTGCACCGTGCTACCAAGCACCCCGGGGCAGCTATCTCAGACAAAGCAATAAATCACCCCCACAGGGGGATGGTCATGCCACAATCCCTTCTCCTCCATTCTCCCCCCACACACACATATACCTGGAATGTTTTTCAAGCTGCTGGGTCCAGGACTCAAATCTCAGAGTCAGCCATGTGGAATCCAGAGCCTTAACCACCACAGCAGTTTGACTCATCTTTATGCAAAATTAACATATGTTTTGATTTAACCAAATCAGATATATTTGGTATAGCAATTAAAAGTCTTAAATAACTGTTTGGAATGAATTGTTATAGATTGTTATAATCCTCATTACTCACAGAGCCATGAGGCAAAATGAACATGCTCTGTAGCATGAATAATGCCTTGATTTAATTTACAACCATGATGAATAATGAATAAAATCATTTATCCAGCCATGCCATTTATTTGGTAAGCTGCCTTTTCCCCACAAATATATTAGGCAGTGTTAAACTGAAGAAAATCCAAACTACTCCAACAAACAGTTGGGTTGGGCTGACACAAGTCTCTGAAATGAAAGCAAGCCTGATTTTTTTTAACATCGCTAATTATTTTTTACAACCATGATGAATAATGAATAAAATCATTTATCCAGCCATGCCATTTATTTGGTAAGCTGCCTTTTCCCCACAAATATATTAGGCAGTGTTAAACTGAAGAAAATCCAAACTACTCCAACAAACAGTTGGGTTGGGCTGACACAAGTCTCTGAAATGAAAGCAAGCCTGATTTTTTTTAACATCGCTAATTATTTTCATTTTTTGAGTGGTCATTTTGTGCAAGATACCGAGTTTAGAAGCATAATTCACTTTTTATATGATCATTTTCCAAGGTAACTTAATACTGATAGAGAAGAACAGATGGTGATTACAAAAAAAAAAAAGAAAGAAAGAAAGAAAAAAAAAAGAAACAACAACAAAATTATTGCAGACAGAATGTAAGAATGGAGTGCCGCTGGTTTTAGATGCCAAACTGATTTTTCGTGTGTACATAAACTCAGAAAACGTATTAATGAAAAGTAATATAATAAAGATGAGTACCTTTTGAAAAAAGTCTACATGCTTGAAAGAAAGAGTATCCAACTCCCACTGCAGAAAGAAAGTGTAATGCCATTAAATAATATCAAAAAGAAAAAAAATGAAACAACACAAAACAAAACATACTTTGAGTGACTAAGGACTTGAGTCCACTCAGAACCCTGTTCCTCAACCCAAGGTGTGCCACTTCAGGTGCCCCTTGAGAGAAGTCCATCTTTTAGAAGACTATTAAATAACAAGTCTTAACTAGAGAGAAGGGACAGTCCACTTTATTGAATATGTCTTATAGTCTGCAATTTTGTTTCACTTTGTCCTTACAACTCTTTTAAGTCAGTAGGTATTGTTCTTATTTTATAGTCAAGAGAACTGAAGCTAAGAGAGGTTAAGTAAATTGTCCAAGATCACACAGCCAATTAAAGAGCCAGAAATCTGAAGTCTATCTTATGCGTCGGAATAGCAACCCATTCTATTTTTATTTTTTATCATCTTATTGTTCTGCTTTTGTTGTTGTTCTATTTGATCTTTTTTTCTTCAGTATCTGGTATCTCCAGTATCTTTAATATCTCTTTGACATAGTATATATTATTCATTTAAAACATTGTTTATAGTTTGATTTGTGAGTATATGTATATATTTCATAACTATTAACTATATAACTTTCATCATCTTAACATAGTTGCCTGCTTTCATTACCTCTTTCCAATCTGATCCATGCTGGTGATGACCTGTATTTTCATGCTTACTATCCCTGGCTCAATTCAAATTCTGTGAACTTCAAAGCATTTCTCCTACACTTGCAGAGAGACCAAATTTAGTCCCATGTTCTCTCCTTCCAGTAATTTAGAACCCCAAAGACCAGATCACTCAACCACAAGAGGCCTCAGAGACAACTCAAGTAAATCCTTTGGCAATAGGGCCATCTTTTTTCTGGGGTAGTTCAACACCACTCTAAGGATAATTATTTTTCCTTAGAACTTAGAAAGGAAGTAGATATTACATAGTTAAAACTAATCTACAAAAATTAAAACTAGACAATGAACTTCTTAACAGCAAATAAGCAATAAAATTATTCTGTTTACCAGTTCCTATTTATAAAAAGCAATCTATTCTATTATCTAAGCCATTTATTTACTGGAAGCTAATAGGAACTGAGTAATAGTTTATCTAGAATAGTGGTAAATGGCAGTATATATGCACATGCATATGTGCTTATACCAGTTCTTATACTTTTCTCTCCCTGCTGAAGAAAAATGTGAGTTTGAAGAGAGCAAATTTTCATGCTCATTTGCAAGGCTGTAATATTCAGTTCTGAGAAGTTCATTAGGCTGTACTATCCTATATTATTACTATTTTACTACTGTATGATAATCTCCATACGATTCCTGCCTTGTATGACATAATTTAAACATGACCAAAGATGCTGAAATAAAATTTCAATTTATCAAGACTGAAGAAATAATTCAGTGTTTATTTATATCAAGAGTAACAGTAAATAATATCAAGAGATAGAAAGAGTGAATGTAAACTTTTTTTTTTCTTTTACCATGTTTAGGTGAAAAAAATGGTACTCTAGATCTGACCAAATTTTCGGACGCAGGTACCACAATTTGGATTGGTCTCGCATGTTTATCTGTTAGGCTCCTGAAACCAGCCTGCTGGGTCTCAAATATACTTCGAATGTTTTCAAGCTTGAGTTGTACAGACTGCATTTGAATCTTTAGGTTGCATAAAAATTATATGAAATATTTTCTGAAAGGGGATCATTACAAACCTTAGTATATTTCTCAGACTCAGCCAATCAAAAAAAAATGAATTTCAAGTTTAAAATATAACTAGAAGAAATTGAGGACAGTAACAGAAAACAGATTAATACATTATTTTCACATGCCTGTATAATCACAATCTCAAGGAAAACAACCCAAGGAAGCAATTTATCAAGCAGTCACCGCGTAGTGATTTACTTTTATTGGCTGGAAAAGATAATGGCTGCAAAAGAAGGCTTATTACTGTTTGGCACGAGAAAGCCACCAAGTTATAAAGACAATCAAATAAATAAATAGATCTTTATTATATTTTAGCCTGCAGAACACTGTCTTTATAGCTCTCCATGTTATAACAGGCTCCTCAGAGCCGGCGATGAATAACATTGGGTCATTGCAAAACTCACGATGTGTTTTTCTGTGCAAAAATGTGTCATGACTTTCCCAATGACCCAATATACCTTTCTACTCCTCCTACACTACAATGTTTCTGATTTCTTGGAGCATCCCCTGGGATCTGCAGCTAACCTTGTATTTATTAATAAATACTGCTCCAACCTTACTATCAACTACACATTTTAGCAGCAAATAATATCACAAATGTCTTTATCTACAATGTGGTGTCTTTCATGTCATCTCCAAAGGGGCATCACTGAGTAACCTAAAGTTCTCTACCTTGCTTACACCAACTTCTGTCTGCTCCCTTCTCCCCGTGAAGACCCAGGTTCTTTCTTTAGCTGTCATTTCTCAAACTAGGTGGGAAAGCCAGATTTGTATCCACAAGGCATCTATTGGTAGTCACTGCAATGCAAAGATATTTGGGGCAGAGTGCTCTTGACATGAGCCCAACATTCTAGAACAGCTTTCAGTCTTTCTCCAATGATGCATAAGAAAATGTGTGTGAGAGCTCCTAGTAGGTGAAGAAGAGTTTAAAAATGAGTCAGAGCTCACAAAGGAAATTACACTTTATTATTTAGCAACCACACAGTTCTGCATTCTTTGATGCTTAAGAGTCACTCTACACCCCGAATCCCTAAGAGGGCTGTGTCAGTTCGATTTGACATAAAGTCAGCTTTAAGATAGCAAAACTTCTTCCCACAGTGCTGTAATTACAGCTTTTTAAAATGTGTTTATTTGAAAAGAAAAGCCTCGTACCTTGAGTTCAGGAGATAAAAGTACATCAAATTCATACTGTAGGGTTTCTGGATCATAATTTATAAAGGGCAGAGCCATTTCCAGAAAATTTTCAATGTCTTGGAGGGCCTTCTGGGCATCTTCTTTAGACTGAAACTTATCTATTTCCTGATTAGCTAGAAGACATTCGCCTTCATCACAACACTGACGGGCCTAATAAGAAGATCAAGGAAAAGCAAACAACATCAATGAATAAAGAGGAAATATGTTTGTCCATTAAGAGAGTGGTTATCAGCCCTGACTTCTGTGAATCAGAACTGCATTCAGAGCTGCTAAAAAATAGAAGATATCCAGGGTCGCCCCCCTACCCCGCCCCCATCCCTGCCCCCAATTCTACACAGCTTCTACTGCTGACACACAGCCAACGTTGGGACACACTGCATTTATTTAATAACAAGCAATTTATCCTGCTGCAGGAGCCTCAACACTAACACATTAGTTGCATGTTGTTTTCCCAAAATCAATAACTGAAATGTAAAACTCCTAGCAAAATATGAAGTATAATATGAACACTTCATGATTGCCAAGGAAAAGAATATACATTTTCTTACCACAGAAGGTAACCCCATATCTTTTAACCCTACCCTCTGAGAAGATAAAAGGTGCACCACAAGCTTGTGGACAAAGTATGTCAGCACAGTAGGTCCCAGGAAAGGAACTTATCTCCTTTTTCAGAAATGGATCATTTCCCATCACACTACCTGCTGTAGGAGTTTGTGCATTTTGAAGGTCCTGCTGAGCTGTATCCGTTTCGCTCTGATCTCATTAACCAAAATATCGGAAAGGTAACGTAGCTCATTGCACCTCTGGCAGATTAAATCAAGTGCATAATGATGATTTGCTGCAAGCCTGTGTCCATGTAATATCACAAACCGGGCTTTTGCTAATAGTTCCTGATTTTAAGAAAGAAAAAGAAATCAAGAAATCAAGAAAGAAACAAACAAAGAAAGAAAGAAGAAAGAAGAAAGAAAATGACTGCATCATCTCCATTCATATAGAGGAAGAAGAAGAAAATGATTGAGAAGTCAATTGTTTGAGCAAGGAAGACATGGCGTTAAAAATATGATTCGACATCATACTTCTGCAGCCAGTAAAAATGCGTTTATGTATAATAACTTGCAACAGCAATGGTCTCATTAGATGCTCACACTTTCCTAGTTTGCAGAAACTGAAAGTTAACCATCCCACCCAGGATGCAGGTAAGATTTTTATGCAAGGATTTAGAACAGAATCACATGTATCAAATGAGATGCACACCAACCAAATGAAAGCTAACGTATTTCATTTCATCTTCACCTTAGAGACCTCACTAGTGGTCATTCATGTGACTACTTAACACACCCAAAGTGAACACAACAGGGTTTATATGTCAAAATGACTTGACATCACTCTGTCAATTACTGACTTTCCTCCATATTCTAACTGAAACATAGTAGGAGCTCAGGAAATGTTTACCAAGCAAGGCACAATAAAGAACACAATAGCCTGGAATGAGGAAGGGACCAGCCTATATACTTAAGGAGAAGGCAGAATTAAAATGGGAAGTTGCCCTACTTTTCTTGTCAGTTTGCCTCCTATTTCTTTCTTTCTTTTTTCTTTTTATTATTTTTTTTGGGGGGAGAGGTTTTATTTATTTATTTATATTTTGCTATAGGGCGTGTGCACTCGCCAGAAAGACAGAGAGAGACAGAGAGACAGAAAGCGAGAAATCACCCTCCCCAGGGGGTTGGCCACGCCAAAATCCCTTCTCCTCCATTCTCCTTTAGGGATTCTGAGCATGCACACACACACACACACCCAGCGTGAGTTTAAGTCACCAGATCCAGGGCTCGAATTGCGGTCAACTACATGGGAGTCCAGCAACATAGCCATTACGCCAACTGCTGGTCCCATGCCTTCTATTTCTACTGTGCTATAGGGATATGTAAGTTGTCCCACAATCATAGAAATCTACAAGTATAATTCTAGAACTGGTTACCACAACTGCTGACTCTCAAATTTCTGTCTTTACTTGCTGGGGCTAATCCATAAATATATTTGTTTGCTGAGAATATATCTTAAAAAAATATGTCCTTGCTCTCAATATGTAAGACAGGACAGCAAAGATAGAATTTGTTAAGTGTAAAAATCATGAGTTCAAGCTTTCAGCCAGGAAGAATGACAACTGTGTACTTATTATATATCCTAGGTTCTATGCGAAGTGCTTTTTAGACAGCTAAATGAATTGTCAAAATTGCATTGCAAATGGGAACCAGCAGTTAGCGTAATGGCTATGTCGCTGGATTCCCACGTAGTCGACCGCGGGTCGCGTACCGGACCCCGTGGCTTCA